TTGACCATCCCTGGCAAGGCGATGGTCAACATTCTGTTCCTCGAGTTGCTCGTCTTGGTGAGCGACCATCTGGGGAGACGCTACAAGACAAGCCCATGTACTGATACAGTGATCTGTGCAGCGAACAAGACCGGTACATCATAGAAATATATAGAAATTAGATGAACTTAGTGCAACCAGGTGGTGTCATGACAATATCATCTTAGTGGAACCCCCTCGATATCTACGATTGATGTGAGATGCAAGATCGAAAAAGAACCCGGGTCCATATTAATCTTCCAAGGCGAACAGCTGGCAGTCCATCTTTTTGATTGCATTTAAACAAGATTTCACTTGATAAACGTTGAACAGAGCCTCTGCGCCAGATTGGGTCGTACTGCGAAGTCACGTTCCTCTCACGAAAAAGTGCTGTTCCAGGAGCCACATGGAGATGGGGTGGTTTGGTTCGTCCCAGCCAGTGAGTGGATGTTCTGGGCACCCCAACTTCCTCCAATAGGATTCCAACAGGATCCAACGTTCGGCACCCCTTTACTGCACCCCTTTGTGACTGACTCACCAGTCTGACCCAACAGGAGTCCGACTTCGACCTCGACATCGGCCGTTCTCCCCTCAGGTTGACACCACCCCGCAGCTTCGATCAGGTCGTTTTTCCACTCTACCCGGCGTTCCCCTTCTCATCAACCCGGGTTGATGGCACTCGACCAACGCCCCCACCAGGCGGATTTTCCAAACCACCCCATCCACGACCGACGGCACGGATCGAAGCCCCCGACGTGTCGGACCTCCGAAGGTGTTGTGACTTGACGAGGGCATACGGACTTGACGTCCGGACACGGGGACTGGCAGGGTTTTTCACGAGTTGGGGCTATTTTTGTTTGCCATAGATCATAGATGTCTTTATGATGTCTTTTGACATCGTTATATATAGTATAGTTATATATAGATACTAATTATGTAATTAAAGGTACTGTAACTGGTATCGATATTCACAGATCTATGATCTGATCATTGATGGAACACGTTTGGCGTCCGGTGGCATCACTACACCATTCCAAGGTTCAAGTAGCTGGGGTCATTCTCATGCTGAAGCGCCTCTTCTCTGGCCGGCCAGGGGGCCAAGGTCATGATCATGAGGTGGTAAGCCACACGACCTGGGTCGCATGGGTAGCTATTGAAACCTATACCCCCAAATACAGGATGTGCTCGAATTCTGGCCACCTCGCGCACGCTGGTACCGGACCCTCTGGCGCCATGTGGCCACACCACGGAGAAGCTGGGAAGAAAACATGGGAACATCTCCTCTTCACTCTAACAGTCAGGACATTTGATCATGTTTGAACCATCTCCAAGCCAGCGAGGTCCCATAGAGTCGCGTTCCGGCCATGGCCGCCCCGAATCCCAGTCAGGCACTATGGATTGCATGGTAGCCATGGGACATGCCCAGCGGCGTACTTCTATATTCTTGACAACATTACACTCGGCTCTGCTGGACATGGGGTAATTATGATGTCCTCTTATCGCTCCCAACTCGCACCGTATGATACCATCTGCTTTGTTGGTCGCCACATCCAAATCCACCTCTTCCTCCAAGTGGCACGCACCAAGCACGCAGCTGTGCCTTAGTCTAGCTGCCAGAGTGGTCTGGCTGCAGGGCGGATGAGAGTTCCGCTTAAGGGAAACTACTAATAAGCCACAAACTCAAAAGAAGGACCTACAATAAACAGCATGACAGTGCGCTGTTCTTGTCCATCAAGTGGCTTGTTGGAAAAAAAACAACACCACGTGGCTACGTTTATGTTTTGTTGTTTGCAAAAGGAGCTGTAGGATCTTCTGAATCAAGGGTGGCTGCAGAATTTCTTGTATACATCAAGAAGAGCAAATGAGGATTGTTCTTCCAAAATGCCCTTGTGCGCCTTGTGGAGATCAGGACAGGCGCTGCCCCACTGGCTGAGTTGGTTTCTTCATCCCAGTACAGCTACCGAACAAAGAGGACAAACAGGGGCGACGAAAACACCCACGAAGACCACCGGGTTCTGACCGGCGGGACCGCGTGCGTCTCGGTCTTTACACCCTCTATCGGCACCCAAACCACCGACCGGGCGATCTCCGACCGGTGGTGCGCTCGCCATCCCGCTTATAGGCAGAACCAACACACATACGTATGGATCAGTGGGTGTTTTGAGCAGCGAGTAGAATTCCATGTGACGAATTCCCGTTGGCAGAAGCAAGCTCAAGGCGAATTGGAAGAGAACAACCAAAACATGGCGGTGTACTTGGGTGTGTATATTGGATTAGGGAGACCAAGTTCGATCTCAGGGAAAATCAGCAAATAAACTAAATCCATCTACAGTAAATCCATTGGTTGGGAGGTCGCCCTCTTAAAAATACAAACACACCATGGAGCCGAGGACGGCGCGCGGTAGCTCGCTCAAGCGAGAATACGGCGGAGCTCGGCTCGTCGAAGCGGCCGGTTGCGTACAAGCAGCCGAAGATTGAAAATGAAGAGTATGTGCGAGCTGCTGGAAGCCAAGTGCCAAAGTATGCCAGTTAAAGGAACCAGGACCAAGAGCCAGGAGAGAACTTGCAGCTGAGCATTGTAGCCACATGCTCGACTCAAGGTGTAAAACCAGGTGGGGTTCATGGGAGGCCCTTTCTCAGTGTACAGGGCAGCATCCACAAAGTGCCTGAAGCTCATGGTAGGCTCCTCGATCCAGGGAATGCAAATTCAAGTCCTTCTGAACCCCTTCGTCCAAGTGTTATATTGCTCGTACTGCAACCAAACATTCCCTCTTTGGAATGATACTGATAGCGTAGAAACTCGTAATGTTCATGATCGAATGTTGTTCTATTTGTCATGCTTTACAGTGGTCAAGCTCTTCTGTCAAACATGATCACCGCATTTGTGAAGCACAGTGCTGCAGTTGTATTCCTTTCCAGCTTATGAAACTGCCTGGGTATAACTTGCATGTCAAACTTTGTTGGCACAATTCTCCCCGCTGTGCTTCTTCGCACTTTTCCTTCTTGCTCACTGTGAACATACTGCTCAAACAAATTGCACCCAATTCATAGTTTAAGCTGTTTTACTCCCTGCTGAGCTAGAATTGATGTTTCCCACAGATTTTGAGGCTATGATGGATGTTGAAGCCCCTAGTAGAACCAGGCAAGCTCCCCCGTATCGAGGGGAAAGACCTATCCAGCTGGTGTCCTCTGATTATGGCAACTCATGATGCAAGGGTGCTCATGGAATTGAAGACTTACCTTCCGTCCAATGGAGACTGGTGGAAGAGGAGTTTCTTGACTACAACATGGGTCAGTGCCACTTTCATACTTGACAAAGTGTGATACTGCCTGCATACTTTCGGGATATAACGCATCCAATTGAAATACGTCGGGCAGTGTGTTTGCAAGTGGGGATCTGGAAAGCTACCAGGATCAGAAACCCGGAGGATCACTTTCTAGGGGCCAGGAGCTGGGACAAACATCACCAGGAGCCACAAAATGTGTCGTGAACACGGGGTTTGAGTAGCCAGTTCCTAAGCAGCTCAGCCAATTGTTTGGGGTTATCATGGATTATGTATGCAATTGGTATGCATAGATTAGATCTGATCCAAGTGGGTGGCCAGGCCATGTGTTGGCCCAGCCACCCAAATAGTCACCTAGGACCTAGCAGGCAAAAATCGCTGGCAAACAAACGCTGGGGGCGTTGAGAGCACCTGACCGTGACCCGAACCAACACCTGGATTCCAAGCGCCACGTTCGTCCACAAGCGCCACGTGCCGGCGAGATGTTTCCCATGCAGCAAAAAAGAACGACTGGCGCAGCGGCGCAGCTCGCTGTCCTTGTAGGGCGCTTTCCGCAGGGTTGCTTCCAAGCAACATGATCTCGCACAGGATGATACCATTACCATGGCTCTCTGTTGATGTTGCTGTGGTCTTTGTTCAAGTAGAATGCCACGGTTTGGAAGAATGGAACCCCCGGTCTTGTTTGGCATCGAGTCCTCAACCTTAGAGAACTTTATCTATGGTTGGCCATATACATTGACAACCTACATGGGCAAACACTGGGCCAAACAAAAATACACCTCACGCCTCACGTGCAATCGGAACATAGTGAAATCAACATCCCGAACATAGTGGAATCTGTTCGTTTGGACCTCGGTCAACCCATAAAACCTTCTTCACAACAAGGACTTTCGGCACACCTCAGGTGCCTGCAACTCAAGAAGTTTGACGCCCACGGCGGTGCAAAACCAACGGATTTGGTCTCTGTACTGCGTCAAACATCGACCGATTACATGCCTTTCGGATGGGCGAACTCCGATTGAGCCGGATGACTTCTGCAGTGTTGCCGGCAGGAATTTCTTTGAAGCAAATTCTCTGGCAATTGATGCCTCAGGGTGTGCCGCCCACAAGTATGGCCCCTAAAGATACGTCACTACTAAGCACAATTATAATAATTATACCGTATTGAACAGTTCTCGCACTACCAGAACCCCCAGCTTGTCTAGGTGGCTCAAAAGCATCCTTTTGGAGTTCACAGGACAACAAACATGTATCTAATTTTGTCTGCCACTGAAAAATGAAGGGGGAAGTGGATGGTTTGCTAGTGAGGGTCTATTGCTCAACACAAGAATATGGTGATAAACATGCTGCAGCTTAATACCACTGACAAGGGACCTCCTGGAATACTAGCGAAAAGGCCTCAGTCAAATGAACAATCAACATCCGTGAGTCTGAAGCATGAAAAGGAATTCCCAGCCCGATAGGTTGTTTCCTGTATTATTTTGAACGTTTCTTTTTCCTGTAGTTTGAACGTAATAACTTTGGCCACTGCATGCAGTGCAATGCATTGCAAATCCATGGAAACCACGTTTGGAACATGACCCTTCAGTCTCCTTGGGGACTCGAACAAACAGACACGTCCGTGACCAAGGGGAACCACACGCGACAACCACACGCTCCGGGTGACCACGTGCGTGACCCTCCGTGACCGCACCCCGCCTCACCCCAGTGCCACGACACCACAGCATCTCTGATGGTGCACCGTGCCTTGAGATCGATCGATCGAGGACGAGGACGGATCCGTCGGGACGTGGTCAGTGACACGAGGTGGGACGATCCGAAGTATGTGGATGTATGAGATGTATATATGTTGTATGTGGGTGGAGGATCCACATCCATTTTACTAAGCCTGGACTGGGAGGACTGAGGTGATACCAGTCCAATGGATGGTCTGCCAGTCAGTCAGCATACGACAGCCAGTCAGTCCTGTGGGCCCGTGACCTCAGTTCTTTTCGTAGTCTCATGATGACAGCCCAGCACTCAAACCCTTTTCGCCATCTGGGAGAACCACACTACGACCCTTCCAGGCAGTCGTATAGTCATAGTCTTATATAAAACACCCAGAGTTTGCTTTCATCATCATCTCTTCATCATAGTCGTTTATCCAGTCGTAGACTGACCCCAGAGTCCTTGTGTCTTCATAGTCATACATATATATATATATAGTACTATAGTATCATATAGTCAATTTCTTTTCATTCATCCTCCAAACACCGCGGTCGCCGTCTCCATCATCTCCGTCAAACTTGCCCAAGAAACCTCGCCATCCTCTTTGCCCACCCATTGCCCATCGAAGGAAGCGCGACTCAACAGCTGATTCAACCCTGAGACCAGGCCATCCACCAAGCCTTCGGCGGTTCGGTCCACCGGTCCACCCGGTGGGACCCGGTGGGACTCGGTAGACACCTGGGACCCAGGGGTCCCAAAGAACAGGGACCGACCTATATCATCATATGAGGCGTGTCGTCATATATCTATACCTGGATCTTCGAAACGGCACAAATAATTGCCTTTTCAGGAAAAAATGCCGTTACGGCGTCTTTTTCCAAAGACGGCGTTTTTTGTTGTGACGAGGCGCACGCCGGCAGAAAGCAAAAAGAAACGGCGTCTTTAAGCGTCCAAACGGCGTCTTTGGGCGTCCAAACGGCGTCTTTCCCCGTCCATGGATTTTGTGCAACCCATAAAACGGCATGTTTTTTTGATTACGGCGTCTTTTCACTAAAAAATGCCTCCGGCAAAAATTTGTGCCGTTTGAAGATCCAGGTATATATATAGGAATTGGAACAGGTGGCTCAATCAGTTCAATCCATGTTCAAAGGGATCAAGTTCGGGAACACCAGTCATTCATTGACATTGCAATGACGAAAGAATTGGATAGAATAACATGGACTCGGGACCAAAAAATCAGCTGCCTTTTCTCAACACACGACCACCTGGACCTAATTAGTTTGTGTGAGTCATGATCCTGCACCTCAGGTTAGCGACGAGTACATGGAAGTAGTCTGATCTTCAGCAACCGCTCTTGACCTGTTTCTTCATGACACTCTGTTTCATGGATTGGAGCAGCAAACGGATGCGAGTTTGACCAACGTGGAATGCCTCGAGTCTTAGACATCGAAAGCCGCTCGGAGAGAGAACAACTAGAAGGGGGCCGGCGACGGGAATCTGTAGACTGTAGACTCAATTGTACATATACACGCATCGCGTGTTCAATAACCTGGGCAAGTGCAAGCTGGACATGAAACACATGTTTTAATTGTATAAATATACATCATTATACATCATTATACATATTTGTGCATCATGTTGCATCTCTGTTCATAAGCACTTTATGTTCTTTTTTTGTGGTGATGCAAGACGTATCAAGACGTTATCGGATCCGACCAGTCAACAGTCAACACCCATTGTTTTGATTGTTTTGCAACCATGGAACAAAACTATGAGACATTTTTTTAATAATCAAACACACCCACCCTATACTGTTAAACTGTCAGACTGAACAACAAACTCAAACAAAACACTACGATGGTCAAAATGCTTTGCTGCAGTGCTTCAGCACTGTTGGTCCACCATCGACTGTGCGGCATCAACAAGGGGACCTCGCCTCGCAACTTTGGCATGGCTTCATCAGCGTGAGATTTCAAGACTTGCGCCACTTCTTGAGCCTCCTTTGCCTCCCATTCATCCTCAGAGATAGAGATCCAGCCAGATCCAGACCGGACGGTTGTGGAGGTGTTTGTTGCGTGCGGATCATGGCACCAGGAGACCGTAACCGGCGGGTATCGGGACCGACCGAGCGGTGCGAAAGATGGGTGGACTGGTTGGGCGAAGATGGAACAACCCGTCCGGGCCACAATGTCCAATGATAGGATGAGCCATTGAAAAGGGGATGCTGCATGTTGATGCATGCGCAGTCTACGCCGGAATGGTAGATCAAGGAAGAATTGTGGACAAACCGCCGTGAGACTGGGGAAGAGACCTCCCATGATTTAGAGTGATTTGTTACAGGTGAACTTGCTGGCACCATTCAGCGGTGTTGCTTCTCTGCTGCAATTCTGCAGGTCAAATTGTAGGATCAACATGGATGAACCAGCGCTACGAATCAGTCCAGGACAAAGACTTATAAGATCTTATAAGACTTGTTGACACTACCACTTACACTTCGTTGATATGTCGTTTGTGATAAAGCCCGTGCTACACTGCTACACCTCCACACTCTGAATTTCCCCCATGACCATGTACCCGAAGGACTATCCGCAATCATCCTGGCACGTCTCAGCTCAAAACCTCGTGAGGTTCCAAACATTCTGCGAACGTGGACTCTCCATGATCGATCTCGGAAGTCCACGACCGAGAAAAAGAATGAAGCGTCATCACGTCACTCTCCCAAACCCACTGGACACTCTCGACGTCCGGGCGACGAAGTTGGTGGCTGGCGGCTGAGGCGACGTTTGGCCAAGGCGCCCAAAGCTTCAGAGCGTCTCCAGCCGCTTGGCTGGCCTTACTCAGAGTCTGCTCCTGCCAGGTGCTGGGCGCGGCGCGGAACCCAACTCAGACCCCCCATGGGACTGGAATAGGAAAACCACCATGGATGAGTCAGACATGGTCAGACTGTCACGGGGTCAATGTATGTCACTCGTCCTGTCCCATGGAGTGTCTGGGCATTAGTGAATAGTGTTGCACGTTTGAGACGGACATTCAGACTTTCAGGGATGAACCGTTGAGATAAAGAGATGTGTATTGAAATATATAGGTGCTCGTTCAGGAAACTCGAGGCCCAATGGATTTTTGTGTTTATTGTTCTTAGATGTTTCATGTGCTGTCTTCTTCTGCAATATATACAGTACATACATATACATACTATAGTAGTTCTGTACTGTTATGTATTTAGAGAATAGTTTATGCACTGTATGTATTGTATTTAAACCAATTTTTTTTTTGGCACGTCTCTTTTCCTGTGCTTGCAGTCAGCTGAACATGGCTCGCAGATCTTTTGACCCGGGCCGAGAACAGGTGGAGCGGAGCTTGTGTGTCAGTTCCCAGCTGTTGCCCACCATCTTCGTCTTGGCTTTGCATAAGCTGCAGGCTGCCATGTTGCCTGTGCGCATCATCTGATGCGTGGGGTGCCCCCTCCATTCATCTGCAGCAAGCGGCCCATGATGGCAGTAGGAGCCAAGGAAACGATGAAATTGTTCCTCTCCTGCTCGTGCCAAAATGTAGCACCGGCAAACTTGGCACCTCAGGTAAGCTTTGTCAAGCTTGAAGTGGTGTTGACCTTCCACCGGAGCTTGCTGCATTTCCAAGAGGTCATGGATGACTTCAAATCTCGTCTTTTTGTGCTCTTTGGCCACGATGGCTTGTTTGCAAGGAGCGTTGAGACCCTCTTGAATCTCCTTGAGGAGAGATTTGGCATGAAGCCGCTGCCGACAAAGAGTGCATTGGACTCCCGATCTGAAAGCTTGCCATTGGTGTCCATTCCTTGTGGGCTCCTCGAGGTAGGTGGCCAGCAGGTCACGCTTCTGCTGAATGAGGGGGATCTTGCCCGGACTGTCTTGCTGGTGCTTGGTGTGCAAGAAGTGGCTTTTGTCAGTCAAAAGGATCTCCATTCGATTGGTCGCCACAAAGAGGATGTCTCGCGTGTCTTCATCTACCTGACGTTGGAGGTCCAGGATCTCTTCTGGGCGAGCCAAAATGGCTGCCTGGGTGGCTTTGGCCTGCGTGTCCTTCTGGAAGAGCTTCCTGTTGTGATTGCTGTTCAACTCAGAGCCACTCAGGAGCAAGAGACGGACCTGATCATAGTCTTCCTGCTCCAAGCCTAAACATAGGTCCGGGAAGTGCTCAAAAGCAGCCATCCATGTCCAGAGTTTCCAAGTGGTGTGCTGGAAGACCGGGACTTGCACCTTGTCATTGATGTGAAGTGACAGGTGCTTGAGGGCATAGAAGAAAGCCCTTTGTCTGGTTGCTTGCCCGGGGCAGATGCCAGTGATGGAGGCAATCCTTTCCTTGGAGTGGGCGTCATGGATGCAGATGGCAAAGGCGAACCTTCGATGTCTTGGGTCTCGACAGGTAGGAGCAATGGCCACAGAGAAAGCTTGACCAGCGCCGACCGTCAAAGTCCCCAGATTTGCCCATAGACCTTCTCCATTGAAAGTAGCCATGCCACCATCCGGGATGTAGAAAAGGCTCTGAGTCATGCCTCTGTTCCAAAGCTCCGGTTCTGTGCCTGCTTGAAGTCTTTCATGCCATTGGTCTGGCAGGTCTTTGACTCTCCCTTTCCAGAAACCGCACTGCCACAGTAAGTGGATGAAGGTGAGCTCTTCTCCACAAAGAGGGCATGATCCTTCTTGACCATGGAGAGTGCCCTGGTGCAAGGCCCTGAGCGCTGTGCACTGCTTGTCAGTGCACATCTTTTCCATCGTGCGGCTGACAGTCCAATCTAAGGGCCTTTCCAGGTCGTGGCAGCCGGTGTACCTGGTCAACCGGAGAAGACGCTGCCAGCGAAACTCCTTGAGGAGCTTGTGGTGGAGGGACGGCCAATTGTCTTCCAGTTGTATCTCACAGTCTGGAATTCCCCCATAGCCAGTCCTTTTCCAGTGTTTGCCAGCTGAGATGTCAAAGTCATAATCGAGGAGATAGGCTTGTAGTGCCTGCATTGGCCCAGTGACCACTTGCCAACGGTATTTGGCTTTGAGAAGAAGGTCAAGAGCTGAAGTCCAACTGATCCAGAAAAGGTGTTGAGCGCTTTCATCAAAAGCATGGTAAACCTTCCACACCGTGTGGACATGCTGGAGGATGATCGAGTCACCAGGGTCCACTTTGTTGGGATTCATGTCAAAGACCACATCAACAGACCCTGACTTCTGTAGCTTCAGGCCTCTGGCTGCCATCACCCGGATCTGTTGCCGTCGTTGCGGAGCGAGCCCATTTGCTTGAGAGCCCCATGTCATCACGGGATGAATCGCTCCCCGACGCAGTCGATATCTGACCTGCGGGTTCAACTTGAGTCGGTGCATGATCCCTGCTCGACCACGGCCTTTGAGGAACCGTTTTTTGATCTGCGTGACTCTTCTGCGCCTGGAGTTCGTGGCGTCAATGCCGAGGTCCCGAAGAACGTTGAAGTGCTTTGGATCGGTGTCTTGAAGATTCAGGTTCAGTTCTTTTGCCACTTCTTTGCTACTGGAGATGAAGCCGGTCTTGTCGGAGTTGATCTTTAAGCCTGCTGCTTCAACATGTTGCTTGAGAGACCTGAAGGCCAGGACAGCTTCCCTTGCAACATATGAGGCATCGGTGCCTTTGATGTCGAAGGAGACGTCATCCACCCAAGTTTGTAGTTGGACAGCAGGGTGGTCGCGCACCAAGGCCCTTAGCGGCTTGTAGAGGACCAGTTTGGCAATGGCCGGTGCCTGAGGGCAACCTTGCAAGATGCCTTTTTCATAGTGCTTTGGATCACCCGAGATGCCTTCCGCCTGAAGGAGGCGAGGACCCGTGTATAGGTCGAGAGCCAGCTTGAGGTGCAGCGGTGGGTAGTGCAAATCCAAGGCTGGTTCAATGAGATGATCCAAAGTGACCGTGTCATAGAAGCAAGTGAGGTCTGCTAAACATGAGACGGTGTAGATGCCCTGGTGCTTGCCTATTTCAGCTTTCATCATCCTCCCAACCGCTATGGACAGACAGTCCCGATGAGGTCTGGCTTGGTCCCAAGGCATCTCTTTGTCGAGACCAAGCTGCCAGTGTTGTAGTTCAAACTTGCGGTATCTGTTCCACAGCCGGTACAGACATGAGGTCAAAGCAATGGGTCTTTCTATCTTCTCATTCTTTGGGATCAGCACGATGTTGGTGTAGCGGAGCTGTGTAGGTAACTCCGCAGTTTTCTCCATCTCAGTGAGCAGCTGAGCGAGTCTTTCCACCGCAGGAAATGGAAGGTGCCTGAGGAAATCATAAGAGATGCCGTCAGGGCCAGCTGCCTTGTTGGGGAGTTTCCTCATCAGCTTCTGGAGGATGACGGTGTCCAAGGGAAGGAAGGTGGCCGCCTGAGCCTGTGCCCTGCGTTGAAGCTCTTGGATCCCTCGGATGTTGGCGGGACCTTCAGTGACGATCCAAAGCTGTCCCCATTGTTGTTCCCTTGCCTCTAGCCGCTGAGTGGGCGGGAGACTTTGAAAAGGTCGTTGCCACGCGTGATCTTTTTGACGTAGGCTCCTGAAGAGACCCCGAAGACCTTTGTCATGAGCCTTTTCCAGCCATTCACGAAATTCATGATTCGTGGAACTGAGCAGCTGTTTTTGTGCTGTTTGAAGCTCTTGCTGGATGATTTGTCTGAGATTCGTGAGATCTCTGGTGGGTTGTGTGATCCACTGCCAAAGCTGATCACGGAAGCCCTCTTGATCAAGATCCGAGGAGGCATGCTGTGGGATCAAGGGAACCATGGCCTGTAGATCTTGTTGCACTTTGGGATGCGGGCCATGTGTGAGTATGTTCAATCTCACGGTCATCTTCTCCCAGAAAGCCGGGCTTCCATTCTTCCAGATCCGTGGTTTGTTGGCATCCAGAAGTGGCCCTTGTTGGAACTTGACCTGAGAGCCCCTGCCTGTGGTGGGCTTGTGAAGGAGCTGTGTGAGGTACTTCTCAGTCCGTGTGGCCCATCGAGCCAGATCCGATCCGAGACCCGTGATGAGTTCGCCCAGCATCTGAAAAGGGCCGTTGGATTCTTCAAAGGTGGTCCAATTCCTCGGCAATTGAGCTGTTCTGGCAATGGGAGGAAAACGCTGCAGCTGTTGAACAGGAAGGGCCGCCCACTCACAGTCGAATTTGAGATCCAGTGCGCAATGTGGTTTCCAAGGCACTTCCCAATTGTGATGCAGCTGGAGTGCACTGTAGATGGAAGTGGACGCTAGGATGAAGTCCAAATGGCTGCCCTGCAAGGTCGTGGCTTCGTCTTTGGCCAGAATTTGAGCTCTGAACTTGCTAGGTATGATGGTGGAAGCCAACTCTTCAGGGCTGTTCTGCCAATCCCCTCCAATGATGAAGGGCGAGTGAAGGTGTCCAATGAACTGCAGCATCTGTCCCAAAAGCTCAGCGTTGAGAGGTGATTGGAAACTCTCCCCCGTCTTGAGATAGACCTGAATGATGAAGAGGTCCCCTCCTTGTCGTTCCATCCGTAGGGCAGTCCAACCATTGCCTTGTTTCGTGCAAGTGTGCACGTGGTGAAGTAAATGCCTGACTGGATGAACAGTGAGGAAACCACCCGTATTGCCTCCTTGACCCGTTGGCTCAGCAGGTACTCCATGACATTTCCACCCTCGGATGGTGAGATACTGCATGACTTCTTCAAGAGCCTTCTTGTCCAGGTGAGTTTCTTGGAAGAACATGATGGAGTCCCCCTGGTGCCATAGCCAATCTTGCACTTTGCGCCCGAAGGTGGTGACATTGCTGAAGGTGATGCGCAGAGTTTCATAAGAGTGCTTCTGCTTTTTCGGCATGGAGGCTGCCACCTCAATGGAGGTGTCCGGGACGAGTTCATCCTCTTGAATGAGAGCGAGCCAAATTTGAGTGATCTCCCTCCTCTGTTGCTCCGAGATGTGTGGAATGGCCTGTGGGTAAACTCCATCATCGGCTAGCCAATGAATGTTGTCCACCGAGAGGATGCTCTGGTAGTGTCCATGATGATGATCAACTCCTTGATGAAGGACCATGCCAATCACCTTGTAGGTGGCCATGTGGACGTGCTGTCCATCTTCCGAAAAGGGGATATTGATCTTGGTGGCAGTGTCAATCTCCCGGTGATGTTTGGTCCAAATGCCTTCCACCAGGGCCGTCCTCTGGATGTGTAAGACCAGTCCCCCGGGAGATCCATACAAGAACTGCCCACCTCCTTCGTCCGCCCATTGAGAGACCAGAGTGTCCAGGGTGATAGGAGTTTGACCTTCTGGACATAAGAGATTCAAGGGAAACTGTTCACGTTCTTCTAGTTGATCACGATGATTCCGATGAAAGAAACGTCCCCCAAAGAAGGGAGTCCCAGAGTGGGTCCAAAGGTGATGCACGAAATCAGCTGCATCAGCTTGCTCATCTTGAGTGAACTGAGAACATATGGTTTGAAGATCATGAAGACCCGTCAAATCCTGTGGTTCCCCGTCCGAGAGGTATTGTCGAACTGCTGTTTGGGTGTGGCCCCAAGCTTGATTTGCATCCTCGGCAAAAGCCCCCGCCCAGCACCAGCACCGCCAGGGTGCATTGCCATAACAGAGGTTCTTGTTGTTGCGCAAGATGCTAGTGAGCCCTTGTGAGATGACATAGATGTTTGCCGCATCTGTATCTCCTTCTCCTGGTAGGCTGAGGTGCCTGTGAACTATGTTTTGCATCCTTTTGAGGTCGACCAGAAGCTGCTGGCCTTGATGCACAGTGGCATGATCTGCATAGGTGTTGCATGATCGGTTGAGGTCCCTTCTGCAAAGTTCAAAAAGTGTCTGTTGCTCATTGGAGAGCAAGGAGTCATCCATTTCCATGTTGAGGACTCTTGCCAAAGCACGAACAGCCGAGGTCCCGTGGTTAGCAGGCTTCTTGGGAAGCTGCTCTGAGGTAGGAGAGCTCGGTGCCTCGGTGTCCTCTTGGCCTGTAGTCACTTCTGAGGTGTCGTTTTTGGCACCTCCCTTCACCTTGAAGGTGTTGCGCTGCGGTCCATATCCCACCGCGTCAAAAGTGCGGCCCGTTCTTGAGCCTGGGTATTGCGAATTCACAAGAGAGTATTGCATGCCCCTGCAATGTTCTTGTGCTGTCCCCAGTTCATGTCCCGCAGAACATGAAGTGTGTCCCCCATGTGTGAGCTGCATTTCATGACCATGTCCAAGTGTGTTACCCACACAAAGCTTCTGGAGCCCCGGTGCGTCGGCGTTTTGCCTCTTCATCTGTCCCTTCAACACCTGACTGCGGCCGTTTGAGCATCTGCTGCAACTGCTCTTTTTGCTCTGGCGTGAGGGAGACACCCAAAGTGGTGATGAAGCCAGCTACGGCCTCCGGGACGGTGTCTTTCATTTCGACATCCAAAACATAGCTGCCAGGAGGGTGTTCCTCTTTGACTTTGGTCATGTAGGCTGCGCTTGTGGCATTGAGAGACGCCTGTTCCTGCTCAAGCTTTTGTTGGAGTTGTTTCATCTCCTCCAAGAGGTCTTGATAGTGCTTCTTGGTGCTGTCTATCTTTTGCTGCAAGATTTGCTTGCGATGAGAGATGTCCCGGAGGTTTGTGACTTGCTGCTTCAATTGAACAGCCATGTCCTTCTCCGTGGGAGGTTGCGGCTTGGTGATCTTCTCCACCAGTTCTTTAACAGGAGCTGGCAAGTTGGCCAAGTTTTCCTTGAGAACATCAGTGAGGTCTGGCTCAATTTGCTTGGGGTTGGGATTGATGCCAACCTCGATGAGCTTGGACCGGAGGGCTTCATCTAATCCTTCCCACGCAGGAGCTAGGATGTCGGAGGCCACTTTCTGAAGCTTGCCGGACTTGCCCGGCTTGCCCTTGCCTAGCCCTGGTGGTGGTGTAGGAGAGCGTGCTTTGTAGGCATTCCATCTAGTGAGGTGCTTGACCTGCTGTGCTTTGGAGGCATACCCTTGACTGGGCTTTTTCCAAGTGCTGCCGCAAAGCCTGCACGTGAAGCCCGCTTGGATCTTGTCCTCCCAAATCCAGTTCTTGCAGGTGCCACTGTTGCAGATCTGGTATGACCTGCCCCATTGCATGATGTCACCGTCTTCGATGTCAAGAACCTCTTCGGTGAAGTCGTGAAGAACGATCGAAGGGCCAGGGCCGTCGTGGGAGTCGTCGAGATAGTGGCCCTCTTGCTTGAGCAGAAATGGCTTGAGCCTATTTAAACCAAATATATATATATATATTAAATATATATATATATGTTTGGAGTGCTAGGGATTTCATATATGGTCAGAAGTGTCAGAACAGGTTGTTGCTCCCTGCAATCGCCCACAAAATTCCCAACCGTTTCCTAAACCTGGCCTTGCTCATTTGGTGCTTTCGAATACCCAGGGGTATAGACTTGAGGGGACTCAGCCTTCATCAAATGTATCTTGGATATCTGAGGTGAGATGAGGTGAGTTGAGATGAGGTGAGTTGGGATGAGTTGGGATGAGGTGGGTTGGGATGAGGTGAGATGAGATGAGTTGAGATGAAGTGAGATGAGGTGAGTTAGTTGACTAGCCCATCTCAGCCTTACCTGTCTAGATATTTGTGGCGTGTCCCAAAGTCTTTCTTGCGATTACAAGCATCACAAGTGTTGTCCCCTGCAAAATCTCCACCCCATGACAGGCATGCAAGTTGCACAACACCATGCGCGCCGGTACGGCACACGGGCAGGCGTCGCCACGCGCAGAGACGACGTGGGGACGCCAAGCGTGCCTGGAGTTGCTCCAGGCCGAGGTTACGAAAGGCTTCCGCCAGGCGTGCTAGTGTTCCTGGAGAAGAGGCAGGCTCTGTGGATTCGGCTCCAAACTTGGAAGGTACACTGGTACACCCAAGTTTGCACTGGACAGAACAGTTGACAAGGATTTGGATGCCAAATAGAGATGAACAAGATGTATGCTATAACTTGGTGCACTCTTTCAGGTCAAAGCTTTTAACCCCACAACATCCCACAACTAAGAGCTATAAAATGCTAATAAAGAGAATCGCTTGCAGGGCACGGCGCGGAGAATCCCGATCGATCCACCGATCGATCCACATGCTCCGTGCACGCCGCAGGCCGCCCGGGTGAAGAGTGACGAGGGGTTTGTCTGAGAGGTACCCCTACTTCGTAGGTCGTACGACTCGTAGGTCGTACGACTCGTTGGTTGATGGGGGGTACAGGATGTCCTGTTCATCAACCAATCGGTAAAAACGGGATGTATATACGAGGCCCATCCTATTGGTATGTATTTTCGGTCACCTCTTCACATCGACCGTGGTCCTGCCATCGACCGTCCGGTCGTCAACGATCAACGGTACGATCGAAAGCACTCCCTGAGGTGGATGGCACGGCCCCGGAAAGACCATGGCTCGGAATACCAAACAGGGGGCTGGACCTGAACTCATCATGGAAGTGGAGAATGTCCATGCCATCCACGGCCCATGATGACTTCAGCTAGTGTAATCTGAACAGACTCAACCTGAAACCTCAACCACCACCGGTCGGAACCAAAAAGACCAACGATTGACGTAAAAAACCAGACCTTCCATATACACTTCCTCCATGACTTGAGCGGTATAACCACTCGACTTCTTGAAGAAATCATCCAAAAAACGCTCCACCGGTGCTTTCCACCGGCCATTCGCTCGGTCAGGTGCACCTGAGTGTAGCCGCAGCAAGGCCGCTGCAGCATCCAAGAAGCGGCTGACCTGAAGGAGTGATGGAGTCATGGACGTAGCTAGTCCTGAAGGAGTGCTGAGTGACTTTGGGGGGCGAAAGCAGCTGAAAGATGGCGGATTTTGGACGACATGCAGGGTCATGAGTCTGATAGTCTGGCCAAATCGTTTTGGAGAATTGAATCCCCTCCACCTTTTTAAAAAGACAGGGCCCCCCCCTCCCCCTACAAACAAAAACTCGGGTGCTCTTTTTTTAGTAATTAGGGGGGTCCCTAAAATCGGGCTTGTCCAAAATAGGGTCAGTGGGAGGATCCCTGAATCATTGATTAACAAAAAGTCACCCAGGAAAACTTTATACTTTATATAAAATCCTCTATTAAGCTCGTAACAAAAATTGAACAAAAACAACTCCAGATCGAAGGGTCTTTCTTTTCCCAAAAACAAAAACAGTGATTCTTGATTAGACTAACAACTAAAGCTTTCGAAAGGTGAGTCCGTGCCATTGGGGAAGGAAAACCTGCTGGTGTAAACGCGGCATGTCATGGTGGATAGACAGGGTGGACGGAGGCGGGCAGTTAGGGCTGTTTTTGGAACCATATGTAAACATAAAACTCCACCAAAATCGGCAATGCTGGTAGTTTAGTAGAGGTTTTTAGGGTGGTAGTATAAATCGTATTTAGGGGGTTCCGAGATCTTGTTTTAAATTACTGTAGGGGTACTTGTTTTAATAGGTTACGTACGTTTTGAAATAGGTACGTCGGGAACATTCAGAATTGATTGTATTTGTGAAGGTTCTGGCGTGATTCGTTTTGTTCTCCAACGTTCGAAGGGCCAGGGTGGTGCATGATGGTTCCATGCCAGAACTGAGGTCACTTCTTGGCCTGTTCCGTGCAATCCGGCTTTAGTAGGCTGCAAGCCAGCACTGCTTGAAGCTCAAGGTTCTTGGAGTTGAACCCTTCCAAAGATGAGAGGGACTATGGGAGGGATATGACCTCTTGCTTACTCTGCTCAGGCCAAGCAAGAGGCCAAGCCTGCATATCCTAATCTTCTTCGTTTCGTTTCGGGAGTAACGCCCTGTCCAACGCCGTAACACCCTGTACCTCTGTTTTCTCCTTGTGTTCTGTCTCCTGTCTCGCCAGTTTGGTCCCCACCCTCCTCCCCCCCCAAAACTGATGGTTCCTTTCCCCGCCAAACCTTCCATATCCTTCCATTGCACCCCACCTCCCACATCCATTGCACCTCACCTCCCACATCCATGCGCCAGGCAGCTAAAGGCCAGGTTTTCGCCACGGGGCACTGCACGTCTCCGGCATCCAGTCGAACGACCTCGCCTCGTTGGGGTCGAACGGTGCGGTCGAACAGCGCGAGGAGACAACAAGCGGATCGAACGGTCGGATGACAAGGAGAGGAGGCCGAAGCCGAGATGACTAAGCGGATTGCGGTGAGAGATGGTGAGAGGCTAAGCTAAACTAAGAGGTACGGACATCATACATGCACATCACACCTGCGGAAGAAACAGACCTGGTCTGAAAAGAGAAGTGCTGACAACAGGTGAAACATAGCCGAAGTTCTTCAATGGGTCGATATACCAGAGTCACACCTGGAAACCTAGTCCCTAACCAGAAACCCATGGCATGCGAACCCATGGCTTGCTTACAAGATCTTTTGCATCGGAAGCGGCTGTATGGGGGAAACAACATCCATTTGTTTCTGGTTGGGGATGGGTTTCCAGGAAAAACTCGCTGCATTAGCTCTTAGGTTGGAGGCCATCGCTAGCTATTCGTCCAGGCAATGATCATTCCTCAAGTCCAGTAGCTCCAACGTTCGACCGAGAGATCCAGCTACTCACCTCGAGATCCACCTGCTTTCCCCAAAACAACTCGCCTCACCACTTGGTGTGTCGCTCTGGTGTATCACACAACTAACCGGTGAACATCTCCATATCGATTCAAATGACAATTCGTGGTGTTTCACCAGTTCGTGTGTGGGAGTGATCTGATGACTGACTGCAGCTGATGAAGAAACGTAAACGCTGCGCGCTGCTGTCGCTCCAGCTGACTACGCTGCGATTCGCACATCTTAAAGTTGAAACTAGACGACGTGACTTTGCGAAGATGACTTCAAAAGGATCCACAAAATCATTGTCAAAGAAAAACGACCCAGTACGTTCTTCTACGAGTCAGAAACCATCATGCATCTCCGCATCTCCCCATCTTCTGCTTAGGGTACTAGCAACAATGTCCAGCTAGTCCTGAACCAACTCCTGTACTCTGGGAGCTCATGACCAGGATTATGTTCCACAAAAGATTTGAGACAGGTGGTATTTGCCATGAAGTTGAATCTTCTAGACACTCCCAGGGAACAAAATAGTGGGCCAACATTGATGGCATGGCCTCGAAGACGAGAGGATGACCCTGAAATGAACAAACTCCGAAGACCAAACAAATGGTTGTTACTCCACTTCCATGATGATTTCGTGTAGATTTTGCCGGAGTCTAGCCGTGCCCAGCCCCATCACAGTCCCTGCTGACCTCCGTCCAAAACAACAGAGATTTGCTCTGCGTTGACAGTCTGGCAGCGATTGGGTGGAATTGGGTGGATGGCCAGAGCACCCTCGGTGGTGCAGAGTCTCATGAGAGAGAAAGAACATGCAAGACCAGCTCTCGTTCGTCTTTGGTCAATTTCTTGTTTGGAACCATGAAACTCATGTTCTTCCCTGCTAAATATCTAATATGGAAGTGGGGAGTGCGATTTCCAGGCCTTTTGCATTCATGTGTCGGAGAGAGGGACTCACGGCAACGTTTTTGAGCTCTGTTGGCACACACATGGGAAACCGTGATGCTTTAGCTGACCCAAACTCATGTGAAGCCATGTCTGTCTTCATGAAGCATACATTGCTTTCAGGAACACCCTCACATGTACCTTCAGATTGTTACTGGTAAGACATCCTATGAATTCCGTCGACGTCACTCTGTTCCTTTCGGGTTACCGTTGGCTTTTTGATCGCCCGAATCTCATCGATATTCATCGATGAACCCTTGGATGGTGTCGTATATCCCAGACACCCTGGGCCAGTGGATGATGATGGGGCCTGGTTACAGGCCGACATCTCAAACATCGTGATCATCTGTGCATGATTTTATCATCTTTTATCGACGGCTAGGCTATGGTTTGTTGGGACACACCAGCCAGTCACATTGATCAATGAAACAAACTTCACCTCGAAAAGGGCTTGGCAATTACAAATTCTATCAAATGCATACACCGTTGGAGTTCATCGACTGGTTTCCCAATCCAATGCCTTTGAATGGCTGATCCGTTGGTACCCGTGAGTCCCTGCGTTTTGTCACGAAAAACGTCGGTACCACCCCTCCGGAAGGATGGAACTGGATGGAACATTGACATAGCCGAAGACCGGGGGTTTTCCACTTCCACGGACGGAGGGAAGGTACAATACACGATAGTCCATGTTGAATCCAGGATAGTCCATGTTTTCACGTGCATGGAAAACATTGAAAGAAAAACACACATTTCATGGCGCCATCTATGCTTTGAAAACGCTGCTGGTCATGTTTTCCTTTTTGGCCCAACAAAGCCCTCCCCTTTCTTCGCCGGGCGCTTCGCCGCTTGGCCTGACACAGGCCCTGACCCTTTGGGGTCAACACCGCCAGTCCCGGTAACGCCGAGAGCACCTGCGGGGTCCCGGACGTCCCGCCGCGCGTCAAGGTCCGTGGTTCTTGCTGCGAGATCCAAGAGGATCGTTGAAAGGTCCACCAAGTCGTGGGCATGGTTCGTCGTGGTGGTTCAGACCGGATCGGTCCAGGAGCAGTTCGTCCCCCCCAATAAGACCACGGATCGGTCCAGGAAGGTGATCCGGTGGTTGTTTGGAGGTGATCCCAGGGGCTGGATAGCAACTTGGAGTTCAAAGGGTTGTCTGGGATATGTCTGGGATATGTTTTGGAGAGGGACCACCCCTAATAGTAGAGGAGCGGGATGTTATGCGGGTGTGTGTGTGTGTGTTGTATTTTTTTTGTTTTTTTTTGCTTTTTGTTTTCAAAATAGGAAAGGGTAGAAAGTGTGTTTGTATTCTGATAAAGTCCACTTAAAGTCCCATCATCATTGGGAGGTTCAGGGCTAGGAACTTGGAGGTGATCCAAATTTTGGGAGGTACTACCACAGACTGTAGAGGTATTCCACCACATATCGGTCTACCGGAGATAAGGAGGCGACTGGCCAGCACAAAAGGACATACACCTTTCTCAGTTCTGGATTCCCAGCTTCTAGAGCTCCTCAGCACCATATCCTTTTCTGTTGCATCTATATACCCCCACCCATGGATGCAGTAAACTAGCCATGTTAAATCATAAGCATCGGACGAAGACTCAAACGATTAGACTAGTCAAGACAATAATAGCGATGGCCTCCAACCTAAGAGCAATGGCCTCCAACCTAAGAGCGATGGCCTCCAACCTAGAATAGAACAAATGACTGGAACTGGTGGGGCAAGACCGGTGTCGAGAGTAGATCCAATGCGTACATGTATACAAGTTTGCACATCTTTGCCCGAAGTGGTCCGACCAGAACCTGGGAAAACGCGCGAAAAGAACAAAAACATGAATGAGGACACACCAATTGGTCAGTGTCAGTGCCTCTTCTCTTACAACATTGAAAGGAGTGCCAAGCAGCTTGGCAAAGTGGCCTAGTCCATAGTACAATAAAACCTGGTTGGTTCCCACATCACTTCAATAATCCCTGGCTTCACATGAAACAAAACAAGAGCATGCTTGGATCAGTGTCATCTAAACAACCGCTTGATCTGGGATCTTGCAATCAGATTAGAAGAAGCAGAGTTGAATGGGCCAATTCCCTACGTTGAAGAACGAGGAAACACAGTACTGGCAGAAGTTGCTGGTTCTATGGTATTCCCAGCAACTTCTGCCTGTACCGAGCTCATGAAGTTGATGCCACCTACTCCTCAAATAGGATTGACCCACAAGGGCTTGTAACGCTCCTCTTAGTTTCGGGTCTCGCATTCCAGCATCGACGCCCGTGGACAGCCAGCAGGAGGAAAGTGAGAACAAAATAGAACAAACATGTATTGTAGCGAAGGCAAACTGGTATCCACCTTGATGAAACGTAGATAAAACGTAGATGAAACATCTGTGGTGCTGATGACATACCTACCAGTGAACGGAGTTCAGGGTGGTTCACGGCGTGGACGAAGATCTCTCAGACCATCCATGTGAGAATTGTTGCGTACATTATCCCCATGAAAATCACCAATCCATGTAAGTAACTATTCCAGTCCCATGGATGGTTTGGGTGTTCCTGAACACAGGGGCACCTGCTTCAGTGCTTGGCGTGGAAGAAAGGCACGGTTCTTCCCGTGGCTGAGCGCGCACCAAAGCTGAACCTTCGGGTGCGCTGGGTCAGGCGATCGGAACTCCCAGTGGTATAGTAATTATGTATATCTAAAGACTATATACAGC